TCAAAAACGAGAACAAAAAGAGACAAAATATAAAAACAGATTTCATCTTTGTATAAAAGTAACTAGGGGCTACACGGAGAGAATTTTTCATTCATTCTTCCTATGAAATCCACGATAAAATTTACCGTAGAAATCAGTAATCGTCGGACGTCGTTACCACTTCATTTCATATTGCTTATAACACACAATATTTTGAATGGTTATGAGTAAGTAAATTTTACAGTGCACAGGGTAAATATTGTTATTTGCAACTTCAACTGCGTTTCTAGGTAAAATTTATCTGACCCGATGTAAAATTTTCGGTTGTTTTACAAAAAAATATCTAGTTGATATAACCAAAAATCGATTGATGTTTTCACACCATTGCAAAACATATGGTGCTATTTAAAGCCCTTCCAAAGTACTGCCCCTTTGGAGGGGGGAGTGCTACATTCCGATTGGTTGGTTTCCATACGCTTACGTTTTACGTCATTACGTTATTTTGTGTGTGAAGGGCTTAAGAGCATTACATTGGCTGAAGTTAGCTCATCCATTTGATCTCTACAGTAGAACCATATTCAGACTGTTCAATAAACCTACACATAATAACCTGAATTGTACTATTCGAATACTTATTTCTAATAATCTGCAGGTATGTGAGAGAATAAATAAAACAAATAGATATAAATTGAACAACAATTTATTAAGTCAATTTCGAAAGAAAATATAATTTAAAAAAAACGATTTATCACCAGATTTTACAGTAAAAATCTTCAAATTCTTCAGAAAAACAAACATCGTAACGTCACAATCTTTTTCGTGTTGGTTCCAAAGGTATAAAAAGTATTGCACTCCACGTTAAAATCGGATGTAGTGCATGAAGATAATTTGGCCGTTTTGAATGACGTTTTAAATTCACCAAGGTAAAAGCTATAGTTTCGCACTAGATATTTTCAAATTTCCAAAATTTTTACCGTACACTTCAGTAAAAGCTAATGCGCCATGCTTACTTTTTACTAAATTTTGATAAGCTGCTCTTAAATATATATACGTAATACGTTCTGAAATACCACGATGCCCCGTGCTTACCGTGATTTTAACGTTAATTTTTAATAAAAAATTTTCTCCGCGTATCGTGTCTGGTAATAAAAGAGAAGCAATATAAAAAAAGCAGAAGAATGCAAGCTCGCACGTGCCGTATACAGTAACGTCCAACTGAAGTGCAACACTTGAATTTTTTTACATTTTTGTGAAAGTATGACAGATTTTGAAAAACCAAAACCCGTTCGAATGGTAAAGGTTGTATCCCGATCGGATACAAGATGGCCGAATGGCAGGGGTTGGAGTGAAAAAGTGCATTTTGGAACTTTTTGAAAAATTCGAGATCTAGTAGTTCCGGAAGGAAATTCATATTTCTAATCAGGGCACGAGAGAGAGCATCCTTCGGCATTAAAAAAAAAACCATATGAACCCCTGTGGGTTCACTCTAGGGGGAGTTACACCCTCTTGAAGTGAAAACACTTAAATTGCCATAACTTCCGAATGCGCCGGCCAATCTGGTCCAGTTTCTGCATGATATCATCTTTAATGATACTGCAGATTCTCACAAAATTATTGTTCTCGGAGATGATCCCGTGACGGAAATCTCGAGATTTCGCCATTTTTCATTAGGAAAGCAATGAAATATAAGTTTCATTTTTATAAACGTTGTAGCTGAGATTTCAACAATTAAAACGCGCTTTTAAACATCCAAATACGAGTACGCTAATGGGTTAAATTATCCGTTTGAAAAAATGCCTAAATTTTGCGAGTTCCGCTCAAGGCGCTCGGGGGACAATTGCTTGGCGCGCGTGGTAGGGTAGTAGTCCCCCGAGCGCCTCGAGCGAAACTCACAAAATTTAGGCATTTTTTCAAAGCTCAGCTACAACGTGCATAAAAATGAAACTTTTATTTCATCGCTTTCCTAATGAAAAATAGCGGGGAAGCTGCGGGTGCGCTTGCGAAATCTCGAGATCTCCGTCACGAGATCATCTCCGAGAACAATAATTTTGTGAGAATCTGCAGTATCATTAAAGATGATATCATGCAGAAACTGGACCAGATTGGCCGGCGCGTTCGGAAGTTATGGCAATTTAAGTGTTTTCACTTCATGAGGATGTAACTCCCCCTAGAGTGATCCTACAGGGGTTCATATGGGTTTTTTTTTTAATGCCGAAGGATGCTCTCTCTCGTGCCCTGATTAGAAATATGAATTTCCTTCCGGAACTACTAGATCTCGAATTTTTCAAAAAGTTCCAAAATGCACTTTTTCACTCCAACCCCTGCCATTCGGCCATCTTGTATCCGATCGGGATACAACCTTTACCATTCGAACGGGAAGGAAATTTCCTAATAAATATGTCTTTGGTTTTTCGAAATCTGTCATACTTTCCCAAAAATGTAAAAAAATTCAAGTGTTGCACTTCAATTGGACGTTACTGTATATTTGATAAAAACGTGCTATCCTTGTTTATTTATCAATTAAATGCGATAACCCCGTCGACCAATTGTTGATTATAATATACGAAATTTAGGTTATGTTAAGTTAGGTTAGGTTGGATCGGAGTTATTCAAAAGGAAAGAAAACAAAGTAAAAGAGTGCCTGCCGAGCGGCAGAGACAAACAGTGTCGAGAACGTCTGGGCGAAACTGTCGCGAGCAACAGCGTCCCTAGCTCCCCTTCTTCCCCCCTGACGCCCCTCTCGCGCGGCGTCACGACGTCCGTCCGTGCATCTAAGATCGTATGAACGATGCACGATTCTTACACACTAAGCTTTTCGTAGTGACGTAGGCTTAATGTACTCGTAGATGTCTGTAACACACGCAAGAACCCAGCCATCGGTAATATAGGCTGAGGAATACCGCTATACGTGCATATTGGCGAAACATGAGAGAGAAAGAGAGAAAGAAGAAAAAGGATTAATGAGCGAGTGAGTGGGAGAGAGACCAACAGAGTATAACACTCTTTGGTAGCGCACGACTGGCTATAGGTCAGTCCTAGTATCTGACCGAGCTTATTAATCGTCTCAAAAACATGCGACACCCGCAAAATTAACGACGCTCATACGCCTATCTCTGCCGTGCTGTATCGACGACGTCCTGACGTCGATTGTCTCCTCGATCAAGCAAGTCGACTGGTTTTATGCGGTAAGAACGTCCGAGGCTGTTGCCGTACACGTTCCTTCGATGAACAATGAGAGAAAAAAAGCGCAGAGGGGGGCAGGAGGAAGAATGAAAAGATTTTAAGAAATAAATTCCAATTTCGCGGCACTGCGGACTACTTCGATTCTCAGCTAGTATCGATTATATACAATCGATTCTCAATCGCAATAATCGTTGCACTGAATGTTTTACATCGATCGGTACTACTTGAACGATCATCGATAATCGATTCCTAAATACGATTGATAATGAAAAATTGTAAATTCTTATCGGCGATTGTTTGGATAAATTAAAGTGCAACTGATCTCTGCTACGGCAAGTTTGACTTATGCAATTGAGACAATGTTGTTTCGTATTCATTTAATTGATTGTCATATCCCAGAATGCATCTGGAGGTCTACTATAAGACGCACACGATGCACCACTGGTGGCTGCATACTATGTTGATGTACATTCGCTGCGCGTAGGAGAGTGAGTGAGAGAGAGAGAATGAGAGTGCGAGAGGGGAGGGGGGGGGAGAACGCAGGATTGCTCTGGCTTAATCGGGCCCTGCACTTTGATTAATGACTCGTTTAAAAGTAAAGCTAGTACATTGTAGATAATTCGATAAACGATCCGAGAAGCGCATGCGAGGGGCAATAGTTCTTGGTCAAACGTCGCGGCAGACAAACAAGTCGCTACGGCGTCTTCGTTGCAATGTAGAGGCGTCGCGACGAGGATGCATCTCAATCGTGGACATATAGTACATACAGGCCACCGACTGAAAAAGGCGATTCGCGTTTGGCATTGCCGTAGCCAACATGACCAACATTTGTGTACGTGTATATATATATATATATATATATATATAAATGCTTGTATATATATATACATATAATAACTTTACCAAAGGCATCCAGATGGCACCACCGTCACCCGCTAATGACTTATGCAATTTTCGTCATATCCAAATTATGCATCAGTTTCGACGTCGTTTGTTCTTTTCTCTTTGCTTTGTATTAATTTAGTCAAATTATCATTCACCTACCTGCGTCACTTCTGACGACAGACGCTCGACGTCGACGTCACATCTGCGATCTTGCGATCTTCCTCCGACACCAGCGACGAAACCGACGGCAGGACGTTGCAACGTTAATAGAAAAAACACACGGGTCGCGACATCGAACTCGAGGTGGAGCGATGTCTTTTTTACGAAAAACCGACGTCGTTTGCAAAATGATAAGCTTCAAGCTATTTAATGGATCCACGCCTATATCGACGTCTTCGTCGAGTGTCGATAGCGGGCATCGAGTTAGTTTTTATTTTTATTTTCTTCGATGCTACTCCTCTTCTTTTACCTTGTCTCTCTCTCTCTCTCTCTCTCTCTCTCTCTCTCTCTCTCTCCCTCTCTCTCTCTCTTTCTATACTTTTTATTCTTCATATTTCTCATCTCTCTTTTCCTTCTTCGTTCTTTGGATTACACCGAAGATGCTCGATGCTGGTATATCGACGTCTTTGACGCCAATTACCCTACTGCATGGTGATGCCGACTCTCGCGTCACCAATCGAATTTGCCATATCGGAGGTGGCTGTATCTGTCGAGCAAATATTTTGAGGTCGACCTCGTATAAATGCAGTGCTCCTTTTTTTCCGTTAACGAAAGCCGTATTCGCTCGATCGCATTGCAAGTGAGTATACAAAGGAGAGAGAAAGCGAGTCTAAAGACCTTGTAAATTCTTAATTTAACTACAAAGAGAAAAATAATAAACAAGGACAACGGTTAGCCGGCCGGTGGCCGATTAAATAAAGAAAAAACAAAAAAACAAGAACTTATCGCCATTGTAAATTTCACAGTGATTTATGCACATTTAATCTCTTTCTTTTTCTTTTCTTGGAGTCAAACGACTCCAACAAAAATTCCCGCCAGTTTCTTCCCTTTTCGTTATACAGCTAACCCTGTATAACTTTCGCGGTAGCGCGTCTTGCGCTTTACGAACGTAACACGTAGTATATATACATATAGATATACGCCCACGATTATCGTGCCATGTGAAATATACGTAGTAGTCCTCATGTTCATTCTTCGTGATTATTGTTACCTCTTTTTCTCTTTTCTTTTTTTTTGTCGAAAAACCATTTATTTCATCGAATAAATATTCTTCTATCTATCCATTCTACCTAGGAAGTACACGTTATACATATAAGTATTTTTTTTCATCGGATACTGAGTACATAATTCCATTAATATTATACACTGACAAAACGCGAGATTTTATGATTTGGTGGTTTACGAGAGAACAAGGGGGAACGTGGGTGGGATCGGTAGGAAGGAGGGTCTAAGAAAAGTTTATGGACGAGGAACGAGGGAGATATGAAAGAATCGAAGGAAAAATGAGAAACGATACGAAGAAAAAGAATGATATAGCCGAGCGGCTGCTTATAAATTAATATTGTTAAATTCGTCAAGTATTAAGAAGCACAGGAACAATTCTTCGTATCGATGTAATTTTTTCTAAGATTAAGACAGACGGCTAGTGGTGAGGGGCGTGTACGAAAGAGTGAAAGACGAAAGGGAGAGAGATAGCGAGAAAAAGTTAAATCCAAAAAGGACTGTAGGAACCAGTGAAGTAAATTTAAAAAAAAAATGCTAAAAATGCGGATCGAGGGGGTGAAGATAATTGGCGAAGTTTCGTATAAAGCTTAAAAATAATTAAGCGAAAAGAATTGATAACGGTGAGTGTTTAAGCGATAACGGACCCACGGCCGGTCACACATTTGAAATAGGTTAAGTATATATATTTATATGAGTATATATATACACCTGTCTTATGTATACATATGGATAAGAGTGGTTTGGCAGGATAGGGACTGGGTCAGGAAAGGGTTGGGGGTTAGTGGTGAGCAGATCTATGGCCCCCCGGTCCACCCCCTCTCCACCCGCCCCGCGATTCCCGCAGTAACTACGTGATTGCCCTCGGACATTGATTGGCCATTATTTACTTATCCGAAATCGCCGATGGCTCAACAATTTATAAGCCGTAGAATTTTGTAAAAGACATCTGAAACAACGGCAATAACGCGGTGCTTAAGGGAGATTGAAACGCGTGACGTAATGTCATTGTCATTTATCGTAGGCGTATATACGGAAAAATAGCGAGGACTGAAGAAACGTTAAGTTCATTAAGGCGACACGCTGTTATTGCCGACGAACGTTGTCTTACGGCGCGCTTATTCTCCTTTCACGTCCATTGACTTTATTCATTTATTTTATTTGCTTTATTATTTATTTGGACAAACGCACAGAGAGATGCGCGCACTTACAAACTCAATATAAGTCACGCATAAGGTCGGTCGCAGTACGCGCGAGCACGCGCGAGCGACGAGTGTCACGTGCATATTTGGACAAGGATGGGAGAGAGGGAAGGGTGGGGAAAAAGGGGATAGGGATTTGAGCTAAATTAAACGAGACACGTGAGACAAGAAAACAAAATTGTGGGTTGGGTGGGCTGGGGTTAAAAATTGTGTAATCGTTACAATAGAAAAGAGAAGACAAAAAAAACGTAATCACTGTACACCGAGATCTTCAGACCACCGGCACGATTAGCGAGGTACGTATGCGCGAACGAGGGGATTCCCCAGTGTTGCCGATAGTAGCGCGCCACCGTGCCGGTGGCGCTTTAAAAATAATACCGTGACGCTAGGAACTATTAGCCTTGCCATGGAAACGCCCATATACACCTCGATGGGATAATTATACCTCGTGCTTGAAATCTTAATCGATACACATTATCGATCACGCTACGTATCTGTGTCCTTATTGTCTGACTCACCTGGGTCAGACCCTATCCCATAGCCAAATCATAGTCAACCTCTTCGAGACCCACCCCAAGTCCCATTACTCACCCCCACCCCCATTTTTTTTCTATAAACACATTCGGCCTACACACACACACACACAAGGCACTTTCAGTCTACGAGAAAATTCCCGCGGCTTTTTAATTTTCAATACCGTCCATCTATATGTACGTACGGTCGCAATCATTGACGACCTCGTCATCGTCATTGGTCCATGGTCCGCGTAATCATCACATCACGATCCTGTACGAGGGATTGTTCAATCTTGCTCCAGATAACGGATGCTGGTCATTCTGGCTGATGAACACGCTGATATCCGATGATCCTCTTCGTCCTGATGATCACGATGATCCTGACCGATTGACTATGAGCATCCGCAACGCTCCACCACCATACCCGGAAGTCGCGAGAAGACTATCTGATACTCGTTGTCGAAGTAGAGCATCGTGATCTCGGATAACTTCCGGGGCGCACAACAGGGACCCGTGTTATTCGGCGGTTCCGCCAGCGAGACTATGTGCGTGTTCGGATACGCTGGGAGAAAGGCCATTGGACAGTCGCCTGAACAGTAATTCGCGTCGTACCTGAAATCAAAAAAGGAGGAAACCTGGTTTGCTTAATCCTTCAATTTAATCGTCGTAGATCGCAATTGATCGCTAATCAGGAAGAATTTTTCTCGTTGATCTTTGACCAAACCACTGACGTAACCCACACGTATGAAGAAAGACCTTAGAAATTAAAAAGTTATATCTGTCGTGAGTGCCAGAGCGAGTAGTATCTATATAGGCACTTAGGTGCATAAGACAAGGATAGACATACCGATCTTCCAAATCACGAACGGATACACGCCTTTTTCGAACGATTCCCACCACGTATAGTGCCGTAAATTGTTAACGACGCGATATATAAATATGATCCAATGAATTTTTTTACTTTAATTTTTATATCAATTATTTCTAACACAAAATTGCATGGTTCCCAAAGATTACTGGTTATTGTGAACTAGATAGGAGACTCACTTTTTAGGCGCAATGATCCAATCCCAGCCGAACTTTTCGAAGTCCACGGTGAGCTTGTAGCGGCAGCACCGTGTCTCCTGACTCGAGTCATCGCAGTTCAGACCAACGTTCCTCTTGATCCTGGCGCCATGCCTCGTGTCCAGCTCCTGCGTCTGCACCTCCAGATAGGGGGCATACTCGGCGCCAGGGTTGGTCTCGACCAGACGGACGTTCCGCCGATGACCCGGAGAGCCGATCTTGATGGCGACGCCCAGGTTGTCCCGCGGATGCTTGAACCACTCTGCGACCATTCGCCTGAGCTCGATGGTGACCCACGCGCCGCACCTTCCGCGAGGTCTTATGTGCTTGGTGGTGAGGGGGGGTCCGAGGAGGGAGATACCGCTCTCAGTGACACCGCGAAGGATCCTCTGCAGAGTAATCGTGACTGGTACTTCAGCGTCGGTGCCCTCGTGCGAGTCGCCCTCGTTGTCGCCCCATATCCAGAGTGACAACTCAGCCCTGGTCACACGATGCTGGACGATCTTGTCTGAGAACTTGAAGTACAGAACGTCCAAGCTGCCCTTGGAGTGTCTCACCCTCTGATCTGTAATGAAAATAATTTTTCCAGATTGGTAGGGAGGACAAAAGTTTTTTTTTTTCAACGCTGTACAGTTGGATGGCCTGTGCGCATGCGTCAATACGGATAAGGACAAGATAAGGAAAACACACGGCATTTCATGGAGGACGTTACGCTATTCAGGACTCGTACGAGGAACCGGCACCATATGAGGATGCTGGATGGACCCGTTATAGTTCAGCCGCTTCTTTGATGGTGAACGACATCATTCTTCGCGGAAGGGACATGATTTCTTGGGTGTATTGTAACAATGCTGGATGCTGCGTTCGAATTGGTCCATTAGATGAGAATTGATTTCAGATATTGGATAAGATCGGATGCTGGGCTCGAAGATTGATTTAGATTCTTTAACCGATTGGAATGAAGAATTGTCACGGTCTTACTACAGGAATCCCTTGTACCTTTGTACGGTTCATCCACTTAGTCCGCGACAAGGCCACGTGCTGATAATTAAATGCCCGTCGGATTCTTAATGAGTATCGCACTTGGAAAACAATGATGATATGAGGTATTATCTTCGTGGGTTTTCTATAAATAAACTCATGATAATTGATACGGAACGACCTCCGTCAGCCGGTTAACTGCACTTTTACACTATCTCCCGGTTGTTTAACTTTTGCGCGCGCCCGAGCGTCTTTCGCGCGTCCTTCTATTGTGAGACTCAGCAGTAACAAAAAAAAAGCTAAAGAAAAGAAGCCAGCAGCCAGGAAGTATCAGAACGTCAATCTTGAAGGGGGATCCATGCATAATACGAAGACACCGGCAGATAAGTTCGGTTGGCAGAGATCAAAGAGCGTAGAGGAGCCAAAAGTAGAGGGAGCGAAAGAAGTGGAAAAAAATAGAATAAAAGCAAAGACAAAAGGAGCGGCCATAGAAGGAGGAGCGCGAGGTGCATTCCTCGATTCTTGGTAATGGGGGTTCGATGGACGAAATCGAAGGTCGCCCGTAGCGAAAGGGTGTAGGATGAGGAGGGTCAGACACGTCTGTATGTCAGTCCATCGGCTCCTTCGGTTCCTTGTGTCCGAGGTCATAGTCTGGCCGGGCCAGCCAATCGGGGAAGAGAACACTGGCACAGAAGCCCCTTGCGTGAGTCTAGCGATACTCCTCGCTCTATACCAATACAGCTATTCGCCAAGAGCATTGAACCCCAAAATTAATGTTGTAATGCACTTTCATCCCCATTCCATCGTTCCTTCTTACCAGCTACAATTCCCATTCCCATAACGTACCTTTACTTCTATTATCCGCTCGATATCTACCGTGCTCCGCTTAGACGGGGAGTCCCCCCCCCCTCCGTAATTTTTCACCCGACAGTCCTTACGAAACCTGACGTGTCTCATTGAGAAGGTACCTTTACCACGTCGAACAGACTATTCGTGCAAGAACGGATAACTCGAAAAAGCAGATCCCTCGTTGACTAGAATCGGTCATGACGTGACGATTCTCTCGGCTAACTTTTTCATGATGACCGAATCTGATCGACGAGACATTTGGTTTTCCCAGCTATCAGACTTGTACTAGTCCGTTGGACGTATGAAAGTGTACCTGTAAGGTCACCATGTACATTGAGCAAATAATTGACCAATACTTTTGCGAAAAAACTTACTGTTTAGTCCCACGTATATCCGAGTGCGTATCTAACCGACAAATACGAGAGATACGTGGCGCCACCGACGAGGAAAAAAAAAGGCGGGAACGAAAGGTAAATTCAAACGAGAATTAAAGCAACTCAAAACCCTGTACACCCGTGCGTTACCAGAGACATTAAAACCGAGCGTGCTAAATAATTGCATCGCGTGACGCAATCGATGCAACTTGCGAGCGCACCTCGACGACAATAACTCCCATGAAATTCGCATTTGGGTCACGCGCCTTACGAGTGTCACGGCGTACTGTGGTTAAACGTCTTTTTTCGTTGGTCCACGTGCCGATCCTCGCGAAACTGCGCGCGCATCTGATGCGCGGGAAATTCCTCAATTTCCTAATCAAAGATCACGATTCCTCATACGGCCTTATGCCCTGTACACTTTTCACGTAGGAAACTGTACGAAAATTACTATCTCATTTCCTATCGCCGCTCAACTCGACTATCGCCAAAAAATGTATCCCACTTGAGAGTTCAACGTCGTCCACGTATGAGAGCCTCTGTCGACGCGGCGCCTGTCTGCGAGTATGCTGACCGCAGTTCCCCTATCAGCCGTCATTATTCACTGACGTTATATATCCATTTCAGATTTATTAATTTCTCGCGGATTAAAAGCAGGGATCGTGTCAGTGATCCAAAGTGACATGTATTGTCGGCAGGAGGAGGGTGACGTCTTATCATCCCTAGCGGTCATCCCTATCGAATATGCACTTAGCAATAACCCGCAGGGATTCGTATATCCACGTGCAACGTGTGTGCACATATGCAACACGCTCGGATTACATGTGGCCGCAGAGTAAAAAGTATTTTTTTTGTATAGTCAATTGACGGGGCTCTAGGGGACGCGGGAGGGTAGGAGGAGAGCAGTACGATGATACCAGAACATTCGGAGAACTTGACCTTGATGACAAATCACTTGAGAAATGTATAAAACAGTTTTCAGAGATTATGCTAAAACGTGGTATCGTTCAAGATCATTTATAATGTTGATGGCTCATTGATCAGATCTAGCAATCATTGATTAAGTGCATAGATCACTCATGGCCAATGGACCATTTATTAATAACGAGACTGTTGCCTAGGTCAAACTGATACAAGACTTTGTCTACGATATATGTAGAAAACTTAACCGGGCTGTGCACCGGGCCGTGACCTTCGGTGCCGATTAAGTCTGCCGGGATCCAAAATTTTGATGTGAAAGATCCTAACGACCGGGATACCCAAGGCATTTTTGGAAAAAAAAAGTCCCAGAATACCGAGAATCACTTGGCAGCTCGTAATCGACAATAGATCACGTAAGTTCAAAAAGGTTATCCGAAAGAATATAAAAAATGCTATTAAAATTGTAATTAGAAGAAAGATGAGGTTATAGAAAAAAATTTACAAAATTAAAAAAAAAACAGAAACCGACGAACTTTCGAGTATCGATGAAAAATTTGATAACGGATAAGGGATAAACAATAAGGGATACCCGTGACTTGGTGCACATATACGTAGACATACGCGACACTTGGGCATATTACACGCGTGATAACCCTTGACAAATTCACACAGCACGAGTCTTCTATCGTAGACAAGTATCGCGGGGCTGTTGCGCAGGACACTGGATGAGAGTCAACGATAAGGTTATTATCGTTTACTCGGCACAAGTAGACGGGACATATTTCAAGAGTATATAGAGACGTCGCTGTTAGGACCCACGAGTCTAAAGGGGAGTTCACAGACGCGGTAAAAAAGGGCAACCAAGAACTGGACTAAAAATGAACGGGGAGAATTTCCAAGAAAATACCGAGTTCACAGGAGAGCAAAAAGCCCGTGTCGCCGGCGACAGAAAGATCGTCTGCTAGCAGAAGAGCGTTTACGAGAGAACATACGTGCCTGCCGGTTAACGTACTTACATGTATACGCATTTATGCACAATACACGTGTGCGCCTACGTGCGTATGCGGTATAGGAATATAAATGCCCCGTCGGTAAAACAGAGCCGATCCCTGCAATAAGAAAAAGCAGCTGCGCAGAAACGTGCATCGACCGCTCACCTTGTGTAATGTTAAGCGACTGAGAATGAGATACGTAGTCAGTGAGTTAGTGACTGACTGACTGACAGACTGACTTACAGACTTATTGACTATCAGTACTCATGGAAATATATTATACTATACATCGATGATTCAATGACTTACGCGGTTGAGCGAGGGCAAAGACGCTCTCAGTTTTGGCAGCGTAATCGTCGTACTCCTCGTGATGGCTAATGCCGGGCTCCAAGCCCTGAGGTTGATCCGCCTGCATCCCGTACATGTCCATGAGCTTGGAGATGGGTGGGATCCTGGGTGGTGCACGTCCAGTCATATTAGGCGCCTGCTTCAGTCCCAGTTTACTCAATATTTGCTCCTTTATCATCTCCAGGCTAAATGCGCGTATCTCCTCGTGTATGCGACAAGTGTTGCAGCCCCCGTTACTTGCGTCGACTACGAGACGGTGGGTACTGGTCAGGAGGCCGACGGGACCGAGGCCGTCTAAGGCCCCGAGAATTATCATAGCGCCGAGGATGACGTGTTTCCCGATCATCATCTTGCCGATCCGTCGCTGGGATTCTGAGGAGGCGGGATCGTTGGGAGCGGGGGGGAGTGGGGGAAGTCGATTAAAATTAACGAAATTATTTTTAGGTGACTCTTCACTTTGTCTCTTCCTTCTTCCTTCCTTACTTCCTCTGCTTATCCTTCTCCTCGTCTCTTCTTTCACCGCCACTTCCACTTCCCTTTTTATTCTTCTGTTTTCTGGATACGCGGCGAGCGGACGTGGACGTCTCACTCATCCGACGTCATCTCGATCGTCTTTACCGATCTTTATTATTATTATTATTATTATTATTATTATTGCTTCACAGACCCTCCCTCAATACGTTTATCTCGAGGAGAACAATTATTTTTATTCTTATCATTAACGATCAATTTACCGATCTCCTTATCACCGTATCAACCGATCGCGAATTACCGCACACTTATTAATCCCAATTTTTTTCGATATCCCCATGCAAAACACACGGTGCAAAGTATCTGTCACGAGTACTTGAGAATTTTTACGTGTCCCTGCGTTAAACACACACTGTATATATCTGGTGTGCTAGAAGTACATACATAAGTTTCCGTTTTTCACTATAAAGCGTGACTGACTGCGTTACTATCGGACACCAGTATACACGCGCGGTAATCATAGATATAGAAATAGAAGAACCGAGATGAAAAAAGAGGACGGAGATGAAGAAATCAACGACGGCGATAACGATTTGAAAGAAAAAAGTAACAGAAATTCAAACTTCAAAGTTATTTCAAACTACGACTATCTTCTTTATATCTCTTTAAACTTTGTTCTTTTACTTAATTTCCCCTCTTTCTCTCTTCCTCTCACCTCTGACAGACTTTTCTCAATTCACAGACAAACGTTCGCACGGCATTCGCGAGCGCACCGCACCACTAAATATATCATCGTACATTCTCATTTTGTCCCACGTCACGCGTCCACACACATCGTACATAGGTGTACGTGAATACTCTTCCCTTCCGCCGCTTCGCACTTCAAGAATAACTTCCACTCGGCGTTTACAGAAACTTTGTCAAATCTTCATACGAGGATGCCAGTAGTCCGTGTCAGCAGCCTATTCAAATTTCCCGCCAATCCGTTACCGACGATCCGTACGAACTTTCCTCCGACCAGGGCCTGTCTCCAGGCGTGCAACAATGACAGTATCAACCAGGAACAAACGGCGTGTCAATAGCCAATACAGAGTCGGATATAAAAATCCCGTACTTCACTGTCGAGATTAATACGAACGAGAGAGAGAAAAAAGATCTCGAAGGCCTGAGAAGTCGGTCGGGTTTGAAAAAAACGACTTTTGCGATTCTCGATCGCTTCGCTCGATTTCTCTCTCTTTTTGTTTGTCTCTCGCGACCACTGTCTCTTTCCCTCTCTCTTTCTCTCTTTCACACGCACACTCTCTCTCTCTCTCTCTCTCTCTCTCTCTCTCTCACACTCTCTTATCTCTTAATAAAACACATCTATCTATCTATCTATCTATCTATCTATCTATCTATCTATCCCGTTCCGTGTGCCACCACGAGAGATGCTAAGAGCTTGCTGGCCTGTCAAGCACTGAGTCAGGAGGCGCGCGTCCTCTCCGCATATATGTTGAGGAGACCTCCTCCTCTTCACTCTTCTGTATCTTACGCATTCGCATGTACCCACATAGGTGGCTATATAGCTAACCCTCTCGTTCCTGATACACCCCACCCTTCGTTTAGCCAACCATCTCACACTCCCCACCCCCCGTGGCTCCTACCACTCCTCCTTACCTCTTTCACCTTGCGTACCTTCGGCAGATTCGGCACATTCGGCTGGACAGCCGTGAGCGTATCTCTCGATGCCAATCTGTATATCGTATGTAGATATTACGACGATCCTCGGATACATTAAAGATCAGATTTGTTCCAACTGATACCATGTACCGGGTTCGCCCTTTCTGGTGAACGCTTCCGGTGCGATCTTCGAGAGTTGCTGCTTACTTCTGGTTACACCCGGTGTAATCGGAATACTTGATACCCGGTTGTGCACGATACCATAAATATTAAACTAGGCTTATGACAGTTGATAACGATTTTAAAACGATCCGGAAGTTTCGCCTGGTCTCAGGACCGGGTAGGAGCTAGGGTCGGATAGGCGACGAAGAGGAGCTGCGCAAGGGAAAAAAAAGCGATGACTTGGAGGGGTTGAAAGAAATTGATTAAAAAAAATTCAAACAGCTTAACAACGGCGATCGCTCGTGGTTGTTTCAGAATTCAGAAAGACCAATCGGGACCCGATGGACCACATGCATTTATGCATCGTCGAGGTCAATCCAATGCAGCGTTACTATCGAATGATCGGTCAACATTAACATGAATATTTCGCCACCCGAGCGTTACCCAAATTTACGGTTGTCGCATGAAAATCAAATTGTTCGACGAAACATGTCATGCGGTCATTTCAAATACAATGAGAAAAGAAGAAATAGAGATAGAGCGGGAGAGGGGGAAGGGAGAAGGGGGAGAGTGATAAAAATGAGAATGATAAAAATTCACTCTATTTGCTACAGTCGTATACCCGAGTTACTCCTCGAATCGTCTTACCGATTACTTACCGATCACAATCGATATCGAGTCCACATGCATGCGAGGGAATCGAGTTCAAGGCGTGCAAAATATAGCGACGTGAACTTTCGCCGAAGCTGTGTAATCGGACGATAAATGTGGGTAATTAGGTATATAAATGGAATTCAAAAATAGCAAAAAATAATGAAAGGCATTAAGGGGGGAAACCACATTAGGAGGTTCATTTTCACGGATATTTTAGAATTTTTGTTGAGTGGGAAAAAGTAATTAGAATTCAATGAAATTTTGACATCATTTTATTCATATTTTGAACAACCTTTGTGATTTTTTTTTATTTTTTATAAAGAATCATAGTATCAATTTTCATAATGATCGGTTAATTATTTTTTGAGTTAGAGTTCCCGCAAATGTGAAAAACGTCGTTTCGAGAAAAACGCGTTTAAAAAAGAAAGTCTCGAGAGCTAGAAATTGAAAGAAGTTAACAATAATATTGAGTGCTCACCTATTAATCAGCGATTCCAGCACCATATAATAATCCTTCTTCTTCCTCATAGGCTTTATTTTGCGCTTGCAGCAGTGCTTTTCGAGCTCGCGACCTTCCTTCGACTCCAATTTTCACTCGTAGAACTGTCGAGTTTTTTCGCACTAGCACTTTGATCTTCCTCATTATCACTCTGTTTATCGTCGTCCTGGTTCCCATGGAAACTTCTTTTACGCGGTTTACTACGGCGTTTGTAATTCCCATGATCACCTTTCGGATACGAAGACATTTCTCACTCCCAATGACAAACGCACTCGTAGAAGGCTAAATGAAAACTGGCGCCAAGTAAGACGCTCTGTTACAGCGTCGCTTTACCTAATATAACCGACATAATCCCTTGTGTCGATGCTTCTGGTACCTTCTATACCGTTATTTAAAAAGAAAGAGACAAAGATTGGGTTCCACTACAAGGGTACGCAAATAAAGCGACACCTGAGGTAGAATTCTGCCCTACCGCTGTGCGTGCTCGAGCCTGTAACCTGTACACGAGCGCTCGGTTCTATGCGCATAAAATCTAAGCGAATGTGAATTTCGCTTTGAAATTTTTACAGTATATTCTTGGATAGTTAAGCAAACAATTTATGGAATAAAAAAAAAACGATTTTTGAACCTCCTAATGTGGTTTCCCCCCTTAAAGAAAATACACAAGCCCCCTCCTGGACCACCCTCAAAATAATTGATTTTCCATTCTTTTATTATTATGATTATTGTTAATAATATTATTAATATTACCACATGACGCACGTTCCCCCCTCTCCTCGGTTCATAGACAAATCCTCTTCCCCCTCCCGACCCTCCAATCAATTCTCTCATTAATCCTCATTCTCCTTTTTTGATCTCTTCCCTTTTTTCTTAAATTCAACCAAGACTCTTTTTCACAGCAGCTGATTAGTCTGGACCAAGACAATTAAATATGACAAGACATTTAATAAACACGTGAATATCGTGATGCGTTATTCGCGGCTATCCTTATCAGTGTCGGCGGCCGTTAGAACTGACAGTGAGGTCGAAGGCCCTCCTTTCGTTGTTCGTTGGTAATGGCCGTCATTAATTCTAATCTGTCAATATTTTTTTTATTTATCTCCTTCTCCCTCGAATCCTTGGATGCATTCCCTCCCATTGCAACGTATGCGACACGTGTCGACTATCGGCAGCGAGGATGCACTTGGCATTGACGGGCGGGACCCTGAGAGGATGCCACCTTCTGCATTGGGATCTCGATAGCTGAACGTCCTGTGCACACCATACGAGGGAACGAGACGAAAAGTGTTCTTGGTGTATCGGGATGGTGAAACCGATAACCTTTCCAAGTTTCCGTTATCTCTCTTTACCATGTGCTTGCCCCACGCGTCGCTTCTACCCGTCTGTCAACGGAGCAGCCGGTTCAGTTAGTGCAGTTGCAGCAGGTGGCCCAAGGGGCTTGATCCTCAATCTTTTTCACACTCACGCGACACCAGGCTCACGTATACATGGGATCTAAGAGACGTAACAAGCTTGACACTGTGTTACCTATCTTAACATTATATGCGCCAGTGACACGGATTCCTGTTCGATCTAGAAGAACGTGCACGCGTCGATCGAACTCCCTGGATAACGTTGGTGAACAAAAATTTACAGGTCTGCGAAAGACATCCAATTGATGGAATCTGCTGTAACTGAGCTGAGGACAAAGTAATTATATTAGTTCGAGATTAATTAGCATGTAATTGAGCATAATTATGAGGACGGAGTGCACGTGTCTTTGAGGATACAATCATAATAATAAAGCTTAACAATTATAAATAGAATTGTATATATATATATATATATATATATATATATATATATATATATATCAAATTTCCTGGAGGCGCACGAGGCAACTCCAAGATATAATGCGTTTCTTTTTGATAAAGAGAGTGCCTTAACCCGTGTAAATGATGCAGTTAGCAGTTAGCGGGCTGCAGTGTGTACGAGGGTGGTAGGCGGGGCGGAGGATGAGGTGCGTTTTGCCAAATTGAAATCGGCACTCTAATCCACATCCGGTTGACAGGCCAAGAGAGTGCAGCAGCAACGAGCATGCAGCGAGATGGAACTGACGGTGTCGATGCGCCTTCTTGCACGAACAAGGTGAAAATGCCAATGTTGAATTACTATTGCCAGAGTACCTTCGCGATAACTCTTAAGATATCTTTGTGGGTACGTATTGCAGTATTTGCCACTACTAGGACAACCGAAACCACATTTGCTTGCTTATCGACTACCTCGAGAAGAGGTATGGACGTAACGAAGAAAAAGAATGCAGAATATTGGAAATGATTGCGTTGTTAGATTGGCGCAAAGCATACTTGGAAGACGCATATATTTAATTATTATAGCTCGGGTCAAACAAGTTCTATATATGTACGTATATTGGCAAGTAACCGGTCACCACCATCTCTTTGGGACGAGACCTTATTTGGATGGACACCTGTTGTTTTATCAATAATGGCGGTCAATCATTCCCTGTATACTTTATGCCGCAAGTTGTAGAAACAGCTCAACCATAGACATAACCTATGATACTGTCTAGACGTTCTTACTAATAACATTTTCGATTGGTCGAAATTCCTTGCAGCGGGTGTGAGGTGTAGATCTATTAGGAGCAGGCACTTCGACGCGTGAGTGTTACAGAGTTTAACTCAGTAGGTAAGTTTAATCACAGTGCAGTGCAATTCGGTAGACACTGAAGATCAGAATCAAACATAAGAAACTTCGTATGACCCTTATCATTCCGCTAATCGAACACGCACGGTATTACATACTGTAGATCCGCTGTGAAATAAATTCAGTCAATTGAAAACACTATAAGTAATGATTGTATGCGTACGACTAAGCACCGTCCATACATACACATTAAATATACTTAAAATAGGAAAATACTTATGCACTTTATCCACTCATAATTCGTCTATTTCTGGATGGAATTATTTTTTATTTGGATAAGGCTCGGTTGGCAACGTAAAGTTTTTGGTAAGTGATAGGTAACTTACCGACTAATGGTAAATCCGATAATGCACTCTGTACTTCATATTACACAGTATACATATCATACACATAGGATACATTTTCAGCTAAAATACAATCGCGTGTTCTGACTCCGTATTTATATATAATTAAAAGAATGATTATAAGAAAACATAGAGGCCAGTAGCTCCTTTGATCTTTTGGTTCACTAACATTTTTTTTCCAAATATTCTCAATCTATAATATCGAATTATACAGTTAAAATACTCAAAATTTCAACAGCAGTGAATTGTTCCATAGTAGACCTGCGAGTTTAGTCAAGATACAAATTCCAATACAAAGTTGTGACAATTTTGTATCGTACAATACTTTATTTACAAAGTTCATCGCAAACACACAGTACGAGATGGCATGTTTATCGCTTCATCTGTGCCAATATATTATTCTATAATCAATACTCATTACTACCTCATCTTCAGAGGCAGTTTTTATTTTCGATTGTAAAGCCCCCCCCCCCCC